TAGATGTGTGTTGATGGTCATATATCTAGTGACAAAGTACGCGGATACTTTTTAGATGACCCAATATTTATGTTAATAATTGCAAATTTATATCAATTGTTAAAGTTAGCGTTCTTCAATTATTTTCGGGCCCTTAGGGTCCTTTTTATACCACCAAAAATTTATTGCCAGTTCTGAAAAATGTACAGTATACGTAATGTAAATTGTAAATTTTCAGCGCTGACAGTGAATTTTGGAACACAGCTATGTAATACGATGTAATTTCCCCCCCTTTTTTTTGGTAAGCTAATGTGATTGGTACTAGTAGGTTTTAATAGGTTTTCATGTGCTCGTGTAGAAAAATTTCTCAAAAAGTTGGCAACTTTGCCAGTATGTATAGAGCTCACTAAATATTACGTTTCTGTTGCTATGTTAATCATGAAACAAGAAATAAAGTAATAATAAAGATAAATAAACAATACATACATAAAATATACAATAAAATATAAAATGAGTAATAATTTTAAATAGCAGCAAATCAGGGTAAAATAAAAAAATATAAATTTTTATTGTTTATATAACCTCTTTGATTATGAGATATAAACAATGCTATCAATACTTTCGCAAAATCTGTAAGAATATCTTGAAGATATATCATACTGTAAAATTTACTAAATATTCTGTGATATTTTGCAAGTGTGCTTTATACTGATTTTTCGAATTCTTACGGAGCTTGGCAAAAATAGAATAGTTTCTAATTTATAAAGATGATAAAAACTGTTAAATATTGTAAAATATATTAAATTACAGTGATTTAATTGAAGTTCATACTTCTTTACGGACACTTCTATTTTTTTGAAGTTTCATGTTCTTCAAGTAAGCTCTAAGAAAATGGGATCCGAACAAAGTTCTCAAAATAGTAACCAAAATGCTAATAATGAAAAAATAAGAACAAGTCAACTCAGACGTGGTAAAAGCGTTCCAAATCGTGAAAGAATACCAGAAGATACTCCACCGAGATGTACCAGTCCTGGCGCTAGCATTTGCTCTGATTCTGATCTTCCATATATTTCTTATACAGTGAATCGACCTATTGGAGATTCACCAAAGATGACAAATAAACAATCACAAATCTATAGAGGAAAGAATATTGGAACTGGGGAAATCTCAAGACGGAAGAATAGTCTAGGCATAACAAATCATAAGTAGGTATTACTGGATTTATATATGAATATATAATGTTTTTAATGTTTTGAGATATTTCTAATAAAACAAAAAATATATATTTACAGAATGTTTCTGATCACTCGCAATCCAAACACACTACAAGATTAAGTGTTTTATTCTGAATCTATCGAGTTTAATAATTTGTTAATCTGCAGCATACTTAATTAATAAACCATTTTTTAAATTGATTTAATAAGTTTGTAACAAGTTTGTAACATTATTTATAATTTTTCAAAATGCTCTCCATTTTGTATGCATAACGTGGTTGAATCAATAGCTGTAGCATCTCTCACAATTTATAAGAATCCAGTAAAAACCGAAGATGAAATGTGACTCAATTACATTTCACAACTTTGTAACTGTAAATGAAGTTATGTTATAGCGAAATACAAATGACACAATTGATTAAACTATGTTATGCATACAACAAAATGGAAAGCATTTTAAAAAATTGTTATAAATAATATTATAAATAGTGTTACAAATTTGTTATAAATTAATTTAAAAAATGGTTTATTAATTAAGTATGCTACAGATTAACAAATTATTAGACTCTTTAGATACAGGATAAAATGCTTAATCTTGTGTGTTCTATTGCAGATGATCATAAACACCCTGTATATAAAAAGAGTATCCTTCAAATTATATCAAATAACAAGCCAGTTTTATTATTTTATTTTTCTTATATATTTATACAAAAAAATAAGCGTTATTATATATCAGAGTATTTTTTAATGTAATATAGTACTTTCATTATTAGACAACATATATTATATAAAAATGTGTTTTAATACAATCAAAAATTTCAAAATATCTTATATATAATAAATTATATATATAATAAATTATATATATAA